ACCAGAACGACTGGTCGCTATGATACACACTGACCACCAGGGGGCATAGGCTCCACACAGGAGCTGCCCCTGGTGGTCAGTGCGCTCCCTCAGCCAACCTCCCCTGCCCCCTCCCCCTGGCTGGTCAACCTCCTGTGGTCCCTCTCAATCCCCTAGCGGGCTGGCCCCCCCCCAGCTGGTTGGCCAACCTCCAGGTCACTCCCTCTTGCTGGCCAGCCCCTCCCATAGACTTCACTTGGGGGGCTGGCTGGCCAACATCCCAGGGCTCCTCCTCCTGGATGGCCAGACCCCTGATAGGCCTCAATCACCAGCCAGGCTGAGGGACCCCACCCGGGCACGAATTTGTGCACTGGGACTCTAGTTTCTTATAATGGCATGTTGTGACTATCTGTTTGAAAGACCACTCAAAACAGATGGGACTAAAAATTAAGCTCTTAGGCTTATATCTCTGGTCAGGGACATGTACAAATTTATATCTGGATAAGAATATAAAATAATTATTGTGTGATGCTCAAAAATCAGCTTGTCTCCCAGCCAGCCAGCCATTTGCAAATAATGCATTCTCTCCCTCTCCTGAATTTCTAACAGTTTTAATTACTACAGAACCTTTTTGCCCTATGTTCACTGAACCCTTGATCCATATTAATTAATCTGTTGAGATGAGAGGCAGCAACAGCATCTTGCAGAGACACAGTACTACTCCACTAAATTATATTTCTGATCTTTTACACAGACCAACAGATCCTGTAAGACTAAAGCAGTTGTTTATAGTAACATAGGCCATACTTAAAGAAACAAGATAAAATACTATTAGTGCTTCTCTTCCACCATCCTGAAATAGGACTTAGTACTAGAATTTGGGGAGGATGGTGGTGGAGAAATAGGTATGATTGCCACTTTTCTAATATTGTGTTCTTTCTTGAGTTACTGGGATTTACTTTATCCATCTTGAAATGTGGCACTTCTTTAGTTTGTTGCCTTTGTTACTCCAGTTCTTATATCCCAAGTCTTATTTCCTGTTCTGTTCCTGGCCCTATTCGAAAAATCCTTTACACTTTGGGTTTATAACTTTTATCTGCTCCTAAGTTCAAGTAGTTTTCCCCTTATACTCTAGACTCTTTTACTAGACCACTTGTCATTTTCAATTTCTTTTTTCTTTCTTAAAAAAATATTTTGGTTTCAGAGAGGAAGAAAGAGAGCAAGAGAGAGAAACATCAATGATGAGACCTAATCATTGATCAGCTGCCTTGCGCACAACCCCACTGGAAATCAAACCTGCAACGTAAGCATGTGCCCCGACTAGTAATCAAACCTCCTGGTTTATAGGTCAATGCTCAGCCACTAAACACTGCCAGCTGGGCAGGATTTTTTTTTTCCATCTTCAGAAGGTTCACCCAATAATAGCCATCTACGTACTCCATAATGATAAGACCGACCATAGGAGCCAGAAAAATTTCATTGTGTTTTCGCAGCAGGAAACTATTTTTTAAACTGTTTAGGCCACATGATTATCAAACTATATTTTTAAATTTACTAATTGAGATTAGTACTTTGTTTTCTTATTTTGATACTTAGTTTGGCATTTTAATTTCAAAATAGAAATAACACTTGTGACATGACTTCAAAAAATATGTGCCGGGGTCTGCTTCTGATTATAACCGAGTAGCTTATATTGGACCAACCTTCCACAGATAGCATAAATTCTGGACAAATATAATAGCACTGAAGGCACTGGAGAGCAACCACTTCGAAGAAGGAGATGACACTGAGTGAATTTCCTGTTTTTTACAGCTTCTAGGCTGAGGGAAGGTCCCATCCATGGGGCAGCCAAAACCTCAAGAGCTAACCTGCTGTTTTACTTGCTTGAAGAATTCAGAAGATAAAATTCAAGTAACTACCACAGATGGAAAGTGAGTGGGAAATCTCAGGAAGAAAACAGCCTGACAGAGGAAACCCCAAATTCTGATTACAACCTATGCCAAATTTTATCTGATACCTGAACTCCACATGGGCACGATAGACTCCAAGCAGCACAGTTAAGGATAAAGAAATTAAACTGATATTTCGGCTGCTATCCCTGCTTGGGAGACAGTCTGGGATTTGAGTCTATCTAAGTTGTTCGCCGAAAAGAAAGAGAGAGGAAAATCAATACTCAATACTTTTCTAAGAAAGAGAACTGAACCCATGTTTCTAAATCATGTTACTCAGTGTCCAGAACATGGTCCGATGTTACTAGATATCTCAAGAAACAGGAGAAAAATTAATTCATATTCAAGAACAAAAAGCAAAACTCAAAAGCAATTATTAGAAGCAATCTTGCCCAGATAACCTAGATGTTAGATATATCAGATAAAGGTTTTATAATATGCTCAAGGATATAAAGGAAAATATACTTAGATGAATGAATAAATAGGACATCGCAAGAGACAGGGAAACTGGAGGGGGAAAAAACACAAATTCTAGAGTTAAAAATACACTATTTAAAATGAAAAAGTCACTACTTGGGCTTAACAGCAGATTGGAGATGAAAGAAAAGGCAGTGAACTTAACTCACTAGAAATCATTTTACCTGAAGAACAGAGAAGGTTGTGGGGGGAAGATGATAATATAATGAACAGAGTCTCAGGGCCTAATCATGTAGTATAATTGTAATACCCAAATAAAAAGAGGGGTAAAGTAAGGTTGGAAAAAATATCTGAAGAATAATTACCTAAATGTTCCAGTTTTGATGAAAGTCAGAGATGTACATTTTCATGTAGCTCAACAACCCCAATCAGGATAAATACAAAGGTAATCTATTCTGGGTTCTGGATAGTCAAAAGTGCTTAAAACCAAAAATAAAAGAAAATCTTGAGAGCAAAGAAAAATGACCCATACATAAGAAAACATTGACTCAAATGATCACTCATTTCTCATCAGAAATAATGGAGGCCAGAAGACATGGAAACAAATCTTTAAAATGCTGAAAGAAAAATGTCAACTCTTAAATCTATATTCAGTGAAAATATTCTTAAAGAATGATGAAGAAATAAAAAAGTCTCCTGATAAAAGAAAACTAGAAAACCTGTCCTATAAGAAATGCTCAGAAAATCCTGCTGACAGAAGGGAAGTAAAAGCAGCTTGAATTTCAGCTCTTCAGGAAGGAATGAAGAACACAGGAAATAGTTAATATGTGGGTAAATATAATTTCTTAATTTCTTTAAAATATAACTGTACAAAGCAAAAATTATAACATCACCTGAAGCATACAGATATGGATATGACATATAATTCTCTACAATATTTAACAACTTATATAATAAAAGCCCAAGTGACCTTTACAGTGGAATGACTAGAATAACCGGTTGCTATGATGCACACTGACCACCAGGGGGCAGATGCTCAATGCAGGAGCTGCCCCCTGGTGGTCAGTGTGCTCCCACAGGGGGAACGCTGCTCAGCCAGAAGCCGGGCTCATGGCTGTGGCAGGAGCCTCCTGCCTCTGTGGCAGTGCCAAGGAGCAGTGAGCTGAGTGGTAAAGAGCAGTGAGCAGGCAGGTGGTAAGAAGCAAAGGGTCCTATCCTGACTGTGAGAGGTATGTCTGACTCCTGGCTTAGTTCTGATCCCATGGGGAGTGGGCCTAAACTGGTAGACGGACATCCCCCAATGGGTTCTGGACTATGAGAGGGCACAGGCTGGACTGAGGGACTCTCCCTCCACTCCCTGAACCCCCTCTCTCAACCCCCCCTCGAGTCCTGTGCACAAACTTTGTGCACCAGGTCTCTAGTTATAAAGAATGGGGCTAAATGGACCTATATGGTTGCAACGTTCTCATGTTTTATATCAAGTGGCATAATATTAACTATTACTTATACTGAAAAGTTAAGGATATATATTATAATCCCTAGAGCAGTGATTCTCAAACTTTTTGGTCACAACACCCCATTACACTACTAAGAATTATTAAGGACCCCAAAGAGCTTTTGTTTACATAGATTGAATCTACCTGTGTATACAATATTAGAACTAAAATTTGAGAAATTCTAAAAATATTTGTTAGTTTAGAGAGTATCAATAATAAGTCCATTACATGCTAACATGAACAATGTGTTTTTATGAAAAATAATTCTATTTTCCAAAACAAAAATAAACTGGTGAGAAGATGGACATAGTTTTACATTTTGCAAATCCCTTTAATGTCTGGCAATAGAAGACAGCTGGATTTTCATGTCTTTTGTGCTCAATCTGTTGTGATATGCTGATTAGGTTGAAGTATATGAAGAAAATCCTTACACATACTAGTACATGTAGTGAGAAAATGGAGAATTTTAATAGCCTTTTCAGATAATTGTGGATATTCTTCTTTAATACACCAAACCTCTGGAGTTTTCTTAAAGGTTAGTTGCCACATGGAATCTAAAACAATGTTAGTGAACTTTTTGTACTCTCCATTAGTCTACCTTGCGCTTTAAATGATTTTGTAACATCATGCGTTGATCATTGGAAAAGAGTGGTCGCAGATCAGATCTTCAAAATGTTGATTCATTTTATTGAAAATATCACAAATGATATTTGTTAATATCACTACCTGTCTCATTAGAAGAATGTTTAATTTTTGGGAAGATTCCAGTCTTATAGTGGATGCAAGTGCTTACAACTTTTCAAAACTTTTTTTTTTTTTTTGGTTAATGATTTTATTTTTTTTTATTTTAAAAAATATTTATTTTATTGATTTATTTACTTATTTATTTTATTTATTTACTTTTTTTACAGAGAGGAAGGGAGAGAGATAGAGACTTAGAAACATCAATGAGAGAGAAACATCAATCAGCAAGTGATTCCTCAGGGATTGACCCCTGATCTTTTCAAGAACAACATTTCCATAATTGAGACTTTGTCAAAACTTCTAATTTTCACTTGAAAGTTCATATTTCATCATCGGGAATAAATATTGTCCGATGTTTTCTTGAAAGTGACAGACTCATTTCATTTATTTATTTATTTATTTTAAATGTGTGCCCATGCCTGAATGGGAAGATATCATGATCATGAAGGTGGTTTTCCCAGGGCAAGGCTTATCCATTACACTCCAAAGGTGCTGATCCCTTGGATTTCCCCAAATATGGAAAAGTTGCCTACATAATGTGTGGGGGTAGGGGCAGACACAGCATTTGTGCTCTCCCCTGAAAATAAATAAATAAATAAAAATGTGTCCCTAGTAACCAAGTCTGAATAACCATTATTTATTGGCCATAGTTAGCTGTTCAGTAAAACATGGTGTTCCATGAAAAACAGTGGCTAGTTCAGCTTGTAAGTCAATCATGTAAGTGCTTTTCTTCCAGTTTATTTCAGTATGTAGCAGAATTGTTTTAAGTGCACATTTCATCTCATCACAGAGTATTAAATAAACACACTCTAGAGTTGATATTTAATAATATTTTTGAAGATATTTTTATTGATTTCAGAGAGGAAGGAAGAGGGAGAGAAAGACAGAAACATCAATGATAAGAGGGAATCATCAATTGGCTGCCTCCTGCACGTGCCTGCAACCCAGGCATGTGCCCTTGACTGGAATCAAACCCGGCCAACACTCTGTCCATTGATCAATAAATATTTTTCCATCACCCTGACTAGTGTGGTTCAGCTGGTTGGAGCGTCATCTTGTACACCAGAATAGGAAGTGGATTTAATTCCTGGTCAGCACATTCTCAGGTTGTGGAATCGATCCCTGGCCTGACACACATGGGAGGCAGCCCATCTCTCTCTCTCTCCCCCTTCCTATATATATGGTGTCCCCAAAAAAGTATACACACTTTAATAGCTTATATGTGTTCAATTAAGATGAAATGCATTTAATTTTTTAAAATATATTTTATTTTTTAACGAGAGGAAGGGAGAGGGATAGAGAGCTAGAAACATCAATGAGAATAAAACATCAATCAGCTACCTCTTGCACACCTCCTACTGGGGATGTGCCCGCAACCAAGGTACATGCCCTTGACCGGAATCAAACCTGTGACCTTTCAGTCCTCAGGCTGACATTCTACCCACTGAGCCAAACCAGTTAGGACAAATAGAAATGCATTTTAATAAACACTGCCTTTATTTGACGTGTATGTGTACATTTTGGGGACACTGTATAATTAAACACAAACTTATTTTTAAAATATATTTTCACATCGAGTGTATTAAGTGAAATTGACTTCTCTAATTGGAAATGCATAGTCATGAGGAATACAATACAGTATGGTTTTATATCTACCTGTATATACATTATTAGAACTGATTTGTGCTTAGGTCCAGAACTTTTACCCACCATTGCTTTTGTATCATTAGTGAAAATATTAACACAGTTGGCTCAGGATAAACAAGCAGAGGAATTTTCAAAACTTTGAATATACCACTTGTATTTATCAGGCATTGACATAAAAGAATATCTTCTTGAATGATTAGTTGGTACTGACAGCAGGTGAATACAAACAAAATTAGTACTGCTACATCAGATTCATTTATGTTTTCAATTAAAATTTTAAATCAGTAAATGTCTGTATTGTTGGGAATTGGCAATGACATAATTTCTTTTATGGACTTTACATCCAGCAGGCATTCGTTCAGCAATGTCACCCACATAGGCTTTCCTGGCCTCTCAGCTATTGTGGGAACTTTACCAGCCAATGTAGTATAATAATAGCCTGTGAAATGCTTGAATGGCTTTTTCATTTCCACCTTGGAAATTATAATATAAAACCAGTTTTTGGTATTTAAAGTCATCAGCACACCTGCATTTAAAACTTCAATTTCTTTTTCTTTACATTCTGAATAATTAGTCTCAAAATAATGCTTGGACTATAATGCTACTTAAAAATGTTCTGTTGTAGAAGACACAGTAAGGCAAAGGCAAAGTACTTACATTTAGAAAAATCTATTGAAAGATTGTTTTTTAATCCTTACCTGAGAATATGTTTTTACAGAGAGAGAAAGAAAGAGAGAAGAAGGGAGGGAGGGAGGGAGGGAGGGAGAGAGAGAGAGAGAGAGAGAGAGAGAGAGAGAGAGAGAGAGAGAGAGAGAGACATCTATATGAGAAAGAAACATCAATTAGTTGCCTCCTATACACTTGACGGAGGATTGAACCTCAACCTAAGTGTGTCCTGACAGGGAATCAAACTCTCAAGGACAGGATGATGCTCTAACCAACTGAGCTATCCAGACAGGACCAAAGATAGTTTTTATGACATTTTATTTGAGAAAACAAAACTATTTTCAGCCAGTTCCTTTGAAGGAGATTCTTTGTTGAGTCAGAGAATTCTAACACTTTCATCTTTTTCAGCATCTTAGAGGTAAACAGGAATGCTGTGTGTTGAGACATACTTTTATTGTGCTAAAATATACAAAGCATAAAATTTACCACTTTAACTATTTTAAGTGTTCAGTGGCATTCAGTGCATTCACATTGTTGTGCATCCATCACAATTGTCCATCTCCAGAACATTTTCATCGTCCCATACTGAAACTCTGTATCCACTAAACAATAACTCCCTATTCCTAAGTAATAATAAATTCTTAAATATATATGAAATTTTTTTCTTTTACAGTAAAGGATGATTAATATGTAAAATAGTTCAATATCAAATTAAGATTTTAAAATGTTTTGGGGGGAAATTATTTTAAAACCACAGTACCTGTTCTTGTTGTGTTTCCATGTGAATTGCAAGGAAATTTTCAAAATACAACTCTAATAAATAAACAACTTAGAAGTGGTGGAAGCTATGAATAGGTGCTTCACAAAGAATCTAGAAAAAATGGCCAATGAGCACAATTTCATTAGTCATTGTGGAAATGCAAATTAAAACCAAAATTATATATTACACATCCACCAGCATGGCTAAAAACAAAAAGATTGACAACGCAAAATGCTAAGATGTGGAGCAACTGGAACGCTAATACTTTGTTGGAAGTTTTAAATTGCACATCCATTTGGGGAAAGATCTGACAGTTTCTTATACAGCTGAATTTACGCCTACCATATGACCCAGGAATTTCACTCTTTGGTATTTTTTTTTTTTAAGTAAAAGCATATGTCCACAAAAAAGATCTGTATAAGAATGTTCATAGAAATTGTTCTGTCTTAAACAATTGTTCATAAAAATGAACTGTCTTATAAACAAACTCACATGATTATACAATGGGATTAGTGGAACTTGCTGTGCTGGTTTGCCCTGTACTGAGAAGTTTTCTGGGATTGCAGTGTTAATGGTATGAAACTTTTTTTTGTTGTTGTTAAATATATTTTATTGATTTTATACAGAGAGGAAGAGAGAGAGAGATAGAGTTAGAAACATCGATGAGAGAGAATCATCGATCAGCTGCCTCTTGCACACCCCCCACTGCGGATGCGCCCGCAACAAAGGTACATGCCCTTGACTGGAATCGAACCCCGGACCTTTTAGTCCCCAAGCCGACGCTCTATCCATTGAGCCAAACCGGTTTCGGCAATGCTATAAAACTTTTGAGCAAACCAGCAATACTGGTACAAAGACCTAACTATCCACCTCAACAATACAAAGACCTAACTACTGATACATCCAACAACATGGATGAATTTCAAAACATTATGCTAAATGAATGAAACCTATCAAATAGTTCATATTTTATAAGTTCTAGAGAAAGCAAAACTATTTGTGGTAAAAACAAAATAGTTGGAGAGAGGGGTGTAAGGTACCTTTGTATAATGTAATGTCCTCTATTTTGGTAGAGATTTTGGTTACACAAGTGCACAAATGGTCAATTGAGGTTTCTGTCTATTCTGCATTTTAAAGACACCTGTAAACAAATATTGAACTATAGTTAGTTATATGCATACTGAACTGTTAATGATATGCACACTAGAGTGAGGTTTAACTCTTCTTTATTTATCAAGAATGGAATTTAAAAAAAATAGTATTGAAATGTCAGAAATAGAAGGGATAATTATTTTTTGAGGATTGCTCCTGAATAGAATTGTTTGTTATGACTGTTCATTTAGGAAGATTTTCTTTAACTTTTACAACACTTCTCTTGTGGTCCTTATTTTTTGTTTTGTAATTCTATATTTTGCAGGAAGAAGCTTACTTTGTTTTCTAAAACAATAAGCTGTTTTCATTGTTATATGTATGTAATTTGGCTGCAATTTAGTTTATTAATTGCTTTGTATTACTGATTCTTTGCTCTTACAATCTTTTTTAAAGATTTTTATAGCATTTACATCTATAAGCAGGCTCTATATTATAAGGTGTATTTCTATTTCTTAAAGCACTGACTATGTAAATGTACTTGTGGTTATTTTAAACAATGGTAATGCTTAGGACATTCTAACTTTTCTTTAATAATATAGTACTTTAAAATTTAGATGTGGATTGGTTTTAGGTTAGCTGTTTTATTAACAACATTATTTTAATTCACAAAAAAAGTACATTGTAAAAAAATTACCCTTAATTTTTTAAAAAATGTAGTATTGCTAGGGTTTTATTTCTTTTCACACATACTTTTTGGTATGGTGGTGAGTTAGCTTAGAGAAGGTACTCAGTTACTATCCCAATATCTTTTAAGATATCTTTCATCTTTTAGTTCTTTCTTCTTATATACCTCTAAATGTAATGTTCTTATAAGGAAGTCATTTATAATAATGGTTCTCAATCCTACCAAACCCAGTGTAATCCTACCAAACCTTCTAATCACATTTTTTTAAAAAATATGTTTTTATTGATTTCAGAGAGGAAGGGAGAGGGGGATAGAAGCATCAATGATGAGAGCGAACCATTGATCTGGGGGCATGTGCCCTTGGCCAGAATCAAACCCAGAACCCTTCAGTCTCCAGGCCAACGCTCTATCCATTGAGTCAAACCAGCAAAGGCTCTAATCACATTTTTACTATCCTGTTTCTATCCTGAAATTAAGATTGTTTAACCTACCTACACATGTAACTTCAAAAATTAAATATAATTACCATAATTATAACAGACAGGGGAAATATAAGTAATTAACAAATATTTCAATATGTAAATTTTGGGGCATAGTGTAATAAGTACTCAGATCCTTATATCCATGCATAGAAGCTATGCATGGGACCACTATAAATGCAGACTGTTACAGGTGTGTTCGATTGGTGTTTTATGTACCTCAAGCAATACTGCTGCAGTTTCATAATTTT